GTAACTACTTGCATGTTGTGTAACAGTATTAATCCTGACGTCACTGTGTCCATTTGTATATCAGATTGGTAGCATCTAAGTAGGCAGTCCAAAAATCAAAGTGGCATGCAGCCTCTCCACCTTGAATGAAAGAAGATACAGCGAACCCAGAGGATCACTTTGGTCTTGGCCAATCTATACTCTCTAAAGGGTGAAAAACAAAAAAATGTCTGTTTCCTTAGCCTTCATAACACACATGAAACATTACTAACTAGTATTTTCACAGTATTCTGGGAACTACAGTAAACAATGTCAACAAATAATGTTATTAGAGGGTACACCAGTGGTGTATTTTGGTTTCATGCTGCCCTAGACATGACTAAACCTGGGCACCCCCCTAATCTAAATTTGCCTCACCCTTTCCTGTCAAGGCCGCACCTCCCCCGATAAAGAACCCACCCCTTCCTCTTTAGACTCCACCTTTCCATACTCCTTTTTAAGGGATACTATAGTGCCAGGAAAACAGCTGTTTACCTGGCATTATAGTTCCCTATAATGCCCCCCTCCTTTGTGCCCCCCTCTGCCACCCACTCAGCACTGAAGGGGTTAAAACCCCTTAGTCACTTACCTTAATCCAGCGCTGGGTCAGACTCCTCCACCGCGCTTGCATTTGGCTTCCCCATAGGAAAGCTTTGTATCAATTGTTTCCTATGGGGATTTAGCGGGCGCAGGATGTCCTCATGCACAGTATGAGGATGTCCAGCATCAGTTTAGGTGACTTTTGGTTGCCTAACCACGAAAGACCCTCTGGTAGACTAGAGGTGGATGTGGCGGTCACCCCGAGAGAGGAGGGGTATCCACTGCCAGAGATGTCCTTTTCCTCTAGTGTGGGTAGCACTGCAGTATTACAAAGTCGATCTCCAAGCAGGCAATAGAGCCAGTATAGCTGTACAGCGCTTATAAGAGCTAGTGGTTATAGCAGGTATAGCTGTGTTGGGTTGCGTGTTGAGGGTGAAGTGAACTGATTTTAATGGGACCACATTTGGCCTTTTATGACAATCCCCATTCAAGGGGTACTCCCACCTGGACCTTATGGAAGACTGTATTACAAAGTCACAGACCAATGATACGTTGTTACAATACATGACACCCCCATACGTATCATACAATCCATCCCCTCTGCCTGGGAGATAATTGAATCAAGTACTGTATTATCTCAATTATCTCCAGGCGAAAAGGAACACAATTTTACAGGCAACCCGAAAGTCCCCCAAAAACTCACATAAACTCCACAAAAAGTATATCCCCCTGATAGCCCCAATCTGGGGGAGCAACATATCCAAGAATCACCCAGATCGATTCAGGGGTTCAGGATTTCCATGGAAGTCTTATTTCTGACCGACCGCACACGAGGCTCCTGCCCCAAATAGTTCAAGAGATTCAGGTTGTGTGGTCGGTCTCTTTCGAGAGCTTCAAACACAACAAAATACCAAAAGTAGCAGTTTATTGGGAAAACTAGTCGTGTCCCCCTCGTTCGGAAGTTTGATTTCACTGAACGCGCTTTCCTCAGATGAATAGGAATGAACATAGGTGAGAGTGGAAACCTCAGCGGTGTTCAGGCCGTTGAGTGTCCGATAATAGTTCCATACACTCGAAGACCAAACACCGCTGGAAGCGTTCACCAAAACAAGATGGATGCCGCCTTGTCTTCATCCATATGAACGGCGGCCACCCAGCTGACCACTTAGAATGTTCATGTGTTTGCGGTTTGTGTAGGTGTTAGTGAGGTCAAGTGGGTCAACTAGAGGCACAGGACTGTACTGTGTGGTCCATGTGTTCGGTATACGAACCAAATGGGGCAATCTGTTCAGTTAGGTTTGTATACCGATATAGGCAAAGCAAAATTATCATCCAAGAACAGGAGGATCTGTTGCATTGGAGATAGCTCCTTAAGATAATTATTGCAGTTTCTGAGAAACTGCAATAATTACACGTGCAGAGTTAAGGGGACTGGGACACTGCACCCAGACCACTTAAATGAGCTGAAGTAGTCTGGGTGCCCGTAGAGCACACCCTTTAAGCACACACATTCACTGACAGACACACATTGGCTGATACACACGGACAGTCACACACACACACACACACACACACTCAATGACAAACACACAGATGTCACTGACAGACATAGACCCACTGATTTGACACCACACATTCACTGACTGACACACACTGGCAGATACACACTGACAGTCACACACACACAGACATCACTGACAGACACAAACTCACTGCCTTGACACACACACTCACTCATTAACAGACACACACACACACACACACACTGAGACTCACAAACATTGACAGACACACTGATAGTCACACACACACTCAATGACAGACTCTCACTGATTTGACAAACACTTACATACACTCATATATACTCATACACACACACACGCACACACACACTAATACATACACATACACTCACAAATTATTACAATTATAAATTCACATTTTCCACCTAGCCTCCCTACTTGGAGAGCTGGCGTGGATCTGTCCCTGGGGTCCAGTGGGGCTGCTGGGAGGCGTGCAGCTGTGTTAGAATCAGTGGCGGCGAGGGAGCTGTGATATCCCTGCTCTGCTCCCTCCCAGCAACCCCACTGGACCCCAGGGACAGGGCAAACACCAGAAAAGCCATAGTGTCGCCCAAGGCAAATGCCTAAATACACCAGTGGCATTAGGCCCCCTACCACTAGCTGGCGTCAGCAGAGGTGGAACCTGACTCAGTGCTGAGGGGCAAAAGTGTTTGTAACCATTTAATGGTTAAATACTACAACTTTGTATTCCTAGCACTATAGTGTCCTTTTAAATGGGGGCACCAGGACACTTCTGGAACCATAACCACTACATTGAGTTCTATTGGCTATGGTGCTTGGAGTGTTCCTTGGAGCCAATGCCGGGAGTGCTTAAAAATCACTCTGTGAGAAGGATAGAGACATGACAAAAAGCTCCATTCTTATATCCCACGTGCAGTGTGATGAAAAGATGTGTGTGTTTGTGTGTCTCTTAATGGATGAATGCGTGTGTCAAATCAGTGCATTTGTGTCTGTCAGTGATGTCTGTGTGTGTGGGACTGTCAGTGTGTATCTGCCAGTGTGTGTCGGTCAGTAAATGTGTGGTGTCAATTCAAATATGACGTCATATTCCGGCTCCCGCGGCATCAGTAAACAGCGAGGGAGCAGAGCAGGGAGATCACAACTCCCTTGCCGCCACTGATTCTAACACAAACGCACCCCTCCCAGCAGCCCCACTGGACCCCCAGGGACAGGGCGAACACCGCGGATGCTGGAGTGGGCTTTGGGGGCGGCATTTTTTGCTGCTCCCTGGTTAGTGCCCCCAAGGCAAATGCCTAGTTTGCCTTGGGCTAAATACACCAGTGCCTAATGCGCATGCCAGGCAATCACATTGAAGCTCCCCATAGGCAAGCATTGAGTCAGTGATTTCCTATGGGTTATTAGCTAATGCAGGATGTTAACACTGATATCCTGTGTCAGTTAGGCAACCAAAAATCGCCTAACGACATGAAAGCACCTCTAGTGGCCATACCAGAGATGGAGTTAACCCTGTAATGTAATTATTGCAGTTTATCATTAACTGCAATAATTACAATTGGAGGCTTAAACTGACAGACTTACTTGCTCTGCTCCCCTTACTTGCTTAGCCCCCCCCTTACTTGCTCTGCTCTCTGCTCCACTCTAGTTGCTCTGCTCCCCTCTACTTGCTCAGCCCCCCTTACTTGCTCTGCTCCACTCTATTTGCTCAGCTCACCCTTACATGCTCTGCCCCCCCTACTTGCTCTGCTCCCCTTACTTGCTCTCTGTGCATTTCAGCTCTTGCTTCGCTCTCTACTTTGTTTCAGCTCCCCTTACTTGTTCTTGCTTCCTCTACTGCCAGCTCTTACTTCTGTTTCGTTTCTGCTCTCTACTGCTCATCCCTTTACTTGGTATTTCCTGCTCTCTGGTTTGCTCAGCTCCTGCTTACTTTTTGTTTCAAGTTTTTCTCCTTCTTTGCTTGCTCTTTCTACTACTGTTTTGCTCTGTTTTCTGAGTCTTCTTGCTTACGCTTTTCAGTTGCCCAATGGTGTGGCCGCTATTGCGCCATGTGTGCTCCTCGCTCGGCCTCTCTGTATGGTCTGAGAAGTCTGTCACACCAAAATTTCATCACGGGACCGACAGCCGCTGAAGTTGAGACTCACCTCACGTCAAGCAGAAGCTCTTACATTAGAGCTGCATTTCCTCAAGGCGTGTAAGTGCTTGGTGGCAGGCAACGCAAGAAAGTGCTATACATTTATTTTGTAAATTGGGGGGTGCACAGGCAGACTGGCGGGGGCTATGGCCCCCTCTCTGGCTCCCCTTACGCACGCTAATAAAATGCCCCTGGTTCAAGATAGTTGCACAGTAAAGTTTTAATCATGTGAGTACTGAACTCTTTTCAGAACACCCTGTTGCTTCTCCCACATGACACCCTCTGGCACCATAACCACGCCTGCATGTGCTGAGGTGGTTATGGTGCCTTCAGTGTTCCTTTCCCTGACAGCATGTCCCACTGACTGACTGCAGCCCAGCCAGCCTGGTCACGTGATTCTCCCTCCAGCCCACACTGACTGACTGCAGCCCAGCCAGCCTGGTCACGTGCCTCCTCCCCTCCAGCCCCCACTGACTGACTGCAGCCCAGCCAGCCTGGTCACGTGACTCCTCCCCTCCAGCCCACACTGACTGACTGCAGCCCAGCCAGCCTGGTCACGTGACTCCTCCCCTCCAGCCCACACTGACTGACTGCAGCCCAGCCAGCCTGGTCACGTGACTCCTCCCCTCCAGCTCCCACTGACTGACTGCAGCCCAGCCAGCCTGGTCACGTGACTCCTCCCCTCCAGCTCCCACTGACTGACTGCAGCCCAGCCAGCCTGGTCACGTGACTCCTCCCCTCCAGCCCACACTGACTGACTGCAGCCCAGCCAGCCTGGTCACGTGACTCCTCCTCCTCTCCTCCCCCCTCCCAGAGCGTCATGTGATTATCGCGCTGGCTCGGGTCATGTGATCGCGTGCCTGCCCAGTGACGTCACGGCTGTCATATGACCAGCCCGCAGCCCGGTGTGAAGTGAGAGCAGCCCGGCTCCAGGCCCCCGCTCGCAGTGACCGCCCGCCGCCGCCATGATCAGCCTCCTGAACAAGCTGCTGGACTGGTTCCGGTCCCTGTTCTGGAGGGAGGAGATGGAGCTGACGCTCGTGGGGCTGCAGTACTCCGGGAAGACCACCTTCGTTAACGTCATAGCGGTAAGTACCCGCCCCGGCAGCCGGCCATGGCAAGGGTGGCCACAGCTGGGTCCTCAGGGGAAAGGAGGGAGCAGAGTACTGAGAGCAAAGCCAGGTCCCAGCTGGGAGGGAGCAAAGCATCATGGGAGCTGTAGTTTTAGACTATGGGGGGGGGGTACCACATGTCTACCCTAACCTGAGGCAGAATGTCACCCCCTCCCCCCCCCTAACCAGAATTCAGTGACAGTGTACTGAGAGCAAAGACAGGACCCAGCTGGGAGGGAGCAAAGCATCATGGGAGCTGTAGTTTTAGAATGGGGGGGGTACCACATGTCTACCCTAACCTGAGGCAGAATGTCACCCCCTCCTCCCCCCCTAACCAGAATTCAGTGACAGTGTACTGAGAGCAAAGACAGGTCCCAGCTGTGAGGGAGCAAAGCATCATGGGAGCTGTAGTTTTAGAATAGGGAGGGTACCTCCTGTCTACCCCAGACCTTTGGCAGAATGTAAGCCCCCCCCAACCTGCATGCAGTGACAGTGCACTGGGGAGAAGACAGGTCCCCAGCTGTAACGTTGCAATGCATCATGGGATTTGTGGTTTTAGAACAGTGGGGGTATATTCCTCATGAGACAAAGTACCAGACTCCATATTAACATCTCAGTGCAGCCCCCTAATCTGCATGTAATGACTGTGTCCTGGGGCCATTAGACAGGTCCCCAGCTGTCAGTTTGCAAAGCATCATGGGATTTGTGGTTTTAGAACAGAAGGGAGGCATTTACTTTTGTCTTCCCCAGGCAAACTATCCCTCATTAACTGTCAGCGCACCCCCTTATCCACATGCAGTGACCGTGCACTAGGGTAAAACCACACCTCCCATGATGCTTTACAACAGCTGACTGTGATCTTACTTTTTTCCACCCCTGGCCTGATTCTATCCTTAATATACTCCCAGTGCAGCCCAGCTGGTCTCTGTCTGCCCCCAGGCTGCATGCAATGACTCGGTACCTTCTGCTGCATCATTTATAAAATAGTCATTGAGTAGTATCCAGCCTGCGTATGCTTCCCTGTGTATATGCTCATTTTTAGTTATGTAGCTTTTCAGCACATTAGAACATCGACATTTAATTCAGTTGGACAATTGGTACAGAGGTTTATGTGAAAATTTAGAATATGTTGCCCACACTACGCAGAATTGTTCTATCGATCATCGTGTACTGTTTTATGAAATCCTGAAAAGGTATTTTATGAGATAATGGCATATGTGTGCGTTCCACCCGTTATAGAGCTGGGCCAACATTCTTTATTCAATTTAGCTTGTTCTCTACTTCCATCCATAGCAACCCATTGCTTGCACAGTCATCAAGGGTGGTTTTGTTTTGCACGTTCAGGCAAGTAAACCACAAAATAAAACCCTTCCCCTCCCCAGTGATGCTGCACTTTACCTCATTGTGTCACCATAGTGTGTCACACTGTGCTCTATGGGGCATCACCCCCTACTGCATTGTATAGGAGTCTCTGTTGTAGTTTGATCTATAGATACCTAATTCTGTAACCTAGGCAACTTATATTGTAGTTATTATAGCATTTGACATAGTGCTTCACAATGATAGAAAGGGGAAGACGTAAAGAAGCCCCTGCTCAAATAAACTTACACTCTGAGGATGTGAAGATATGGTATTTCTCGGTTTCTTGCCCAGTGAGATTTACTGGTGGTAGCCTAACAGGGATTCGAACTTGGTTCTTCAGCAGTGACGTTACCAATGCTCGAACAAGCTGATATACTGTATATGACATGCTTAAACATAATGCACCGGACGTTTCTAAATATATGTTTATTATAACGGGTAATTTTAAAAGGACTTTTTCCGTGAATGTTCCTGATTAAACACAAATAGGTTGTCCTTACTTAATGTGCTAGATACTCATTCTTTGTTAAAGGGAGAGTCTAGGCACCAAAGCCATTTCAGCAAGATGTAGTAGTTATGGTGGCAGGAGTCTCCAGATGCTTCCACGGTAGAAAGTTAAACTATGTCAAACTGTTTGATACTTACCTGGGTCCTTCAGAAACATGCTTTGGATCTGGCTCCTTTACCGATCACTCTAATGTCAAAGTTTCTACTTCCACTTTAGCGTCAAATCTGCCTCTGTTTGAACAGAATTCATTGGCTGAAAGGGTCACCTGTCACTCTCAACCAATGAATGTCATCAAGGTAGGCGCAACATTGATTTGTAGAGTGAGAATGTTCGCTTTAGATATGTCACAAAAGTAGGCCACATCAGAGGTGTCCTAGGGACCCAGGTAAGTTTAAACGGAAAACAATGTGACCACTTATTGTAGGACAGTGTCCCTGATGCCTTGGCTGTAGTGGTTTTGGTGGCTAGATTGACTTGTTAATGTCTATTCTTCGTTACTCTTTATGTCCATAAATTGTTGCATATATAGTGTTTACTACAGAACCGTTTGTGTGTGTTTTTTATTTATTTATTTATTTATTTATTTTAGGCATTGCTCTGCTGTACTGCAAACTACACACTATTTTAACTCTCTAACTGAATCTATGGTTTTATCTAATCTATAAAGACGATCTATAGGAAATGAGCAGCAGAAGCAATTAACTCTCTAATGCAAGTGTTTGAAAGAGTTTAAATAATTTAGAAACCTAGGCATATTAGAGCCCACCTTATTTTTCCCTCTTTTTTATATAAATCTGCTGTTGTCTGATTTACCCACCAGCAAATAAATCTTGAACTATTTTTTATTTTACTTATTGGCAGCAAAGCAGTAGTCATGTGTTTAGATGTATTTGTTGCGTAATTCTGTTCTGCAGCATTTCCTAATGCACCCCTCCTCAAACTTTCACAACATAACGCATACAGTGCATTTTAACTCCTTTTTTAATATGTTCTAATGCAGTTTTTATGTACATAATAACTTCCTCTCAGTCTAGACACAATACGTCCCTTCTAGTTGTAGCATTTCTTAACATTTTGTCCTACTTTAATGTTCAGCACTTTTTTGACCTATACCCCACTGTGGGCTTATTCACCGAATTGAAGTGAATTGGAAAAACAATTGCAAAATTTAGTAAAAATATAGCTGATTTGGGGGGGGGGGAGGGGCAAACCACCAACTTGGCTTTAGTCATAGTTTGACTATTTCAGCCAGAATGTTTCTATACGGTTTTTTAATGCACTTTTTAGTAAAAAAAAAGGCTCCCATGTATAAAAGAAACTCTTTCTCTTTTAGTCTGGTCAGTTTACAGAAGACATGATTCCTACCGTTGGTTTCAATATGCGAAAAGTAACAAAGGGGAATGTTACTATCAAAGTAAGTGTGCATTTTTATTTATTTCATTATTTTTATTACATTTTATAAAATGCTGCATAAAAGACGCCACATAGTGACAGACCCTTAAAAGGAATTGTCACTTCCCTAATTTTTATTTTTTTATTTTTTTTATATTTAGCAAATATGTTTTTGTGAGATCTGGGAAAAAAAAAATTAATTTTAAATAAAGAAATGTTCACATCTATTATGAAACTGGGCGCCTCCATCTTGTCAGTCTTTGTTATAACTGCTGTCATTTTCTGCCGTCGAACATGATTAACAGAAGATGAAAAAACTGGAACTATAAACCTGTCCTTATTTACCCTGGATATACCTGAAGTGAACTGGAGTATGGTGCCACATGAAAAAGGGTTTAACACAAATTATTGGTGATTTTTATTTCTCAATTTCCAGAGAAGTAACTGTTCTTCTTTAATATTTTGAAATTGAACTTACTGCTTATCAAGATAAGACCTTTGAAACACAGCTATACCTTTTTTGCTTGTCTGTGTTATACTTTAAATTTAATCTGTCCTCCACAATGTGTTGCTCTGAGGGTTTTGCCAGCTTTCTTCATACTGTGGTGGCAGAGGGGAAGGCAGCGTGGAGGTTGTGGTGGGTGCTAATGCTCCAACTTTGGGGTTAAACCATTGTAAAATAATTTAAAAGGGACACTATAGTAACCAGAATGACTACACCTTGTTGTATTTGTTCTGGTGAATAGAATCATTCCCTTCAGGCTTTTTGCAGTAAATATGGTATTTTCAGAGAAAATGCAGTGTTTACATATTAGCCTAGGGATAACTCCACTGGCCACTCCTCTGGTGCACAGTGTGACTGCCATTCAGTGTCTCCACTCTCTGCATGGAAACACTGAACTTTCCTTATAGAGATACATTGATTAAATTCATCTCTGAGGAGATGCTGATTGGCCAGGGCTGTGTTTGACTTGTGCTGGTTCTGCCCCGTGTTCTCCCTCCTTGACAGTCTCCGCAAATCTCATTGGGAAGCATTGTGATTGGCTCACATAATCACTTCTGCAGACTTGAATACAAATAAGATATTACTATATTTAGCAGGGCCAGGGGGTCTAGGTAGTGGTTTTTAACACTATAAGGTCAGGGATACATGTTTGTGTTCCTGACCCTATAGTGTTCCTTTAACTTCTGAAGGCTCCTAGATACTCCCACTACTATAACCACTTTTCCGAAATGGAAGTGGTTATGGGGAAGAGTGTGGTGGTTTGGAGTGTCCGTGTGTTCAGTGCTCCAGTCATGAGTGTGTCTATCTTGGCTTGTCTGACCTAGGCAACTTTTGCAAAAGTGAAAACAACATTGTATAAATAGAAGTGGGGGAAAAAAGATACTAAATTTGCTGCAAAGTATCTCAGATTCTGCATTGTGTTCTTGCCAGATGAGGAAGTGGCTGAAATCTTTGTTTTTCTTACTAGCGATTTTGCTATGCAATGCTTTATTTTGTCGTGCAGTTGTACATCATGCGACAGACCAGGCTACAGTTGACGTCATACATGAAAAACAGTGCATTCTAACTGATACTGCAGCACACATTGATAGCCTGCTGTGTAACCTAGTTGTGTGTTGTTTTTTTTTAATTTCTATTGTCTGCAGCTTTGTAACTGCCAGTCTATCCAGCTGCTTTACTAGATTACTGGTGTACATTTGCAGCAAAATTAAGGGCACACAACGAATAACAATGAATGGCAGGGGATGTAGTAAACAAACTGCAAACTATTAATTGCTCATGTGTTGTGTTTCTTCAAAAACAGTTATTTTGTTGTTGCTAAGTAACTGATTCATCTCATTAAAGCGGCCCTTTTCCTCCTCCCACAATGAGTATTTAATAATGATGATCTTTATGAAACCCTCACCTTGACTGTGTTGAAATTTCAACCCAGTCAAGACATACTAAGACCATGTAGGGGAGTGCTTTGTCTCAGTATTTTTACTCCGCTTGACAAAATGGTTAAGCTACCTTTTTGTCAACCATGTCACTTTTCCCCATCCATAACCAGGGGAAAAAGCTGTCTATGGAAGATACTGTGATCTCGCGGGATCCTCCATCGACCTCTGTGCTACACTCACATGCATGCTTAAAAGTACAGCGCTGACATCTGCTCTGGATGACGCCCTCCCCCCACCCCCCCAACCCCTGATCTCCAAGCGCTGTTGTCACCTTCTTGAGTCTTGTGCAAAGCCCCTTGATGGTGACATACTTTTAAAAATGATCTGTGTGGTGGGGGTGATAAAGTTCCATGCACCTTGTTCTACAGTCATTGATTCTCCTGCTGTAGTTTTAGTAGATGTTTTGTCTGTCACTTGAGTTCTTGGGTCGCATGTTGCACTACTTTGAAATTATTCTAAGACTGTGTGACTGTCACTTTTAGCTCTGTATACAAAACTTGGTCAGTCAATTGAGGCCATTTTAAAGTCAGTTTTACATTTGTGGAATCTCACAATAATGTCTAATAGCACATCGCATTGTTAATCTTCTTGTAGGGTCTAAATGTGTTTGACTGAAGTATTGTAGAAATCTTAAAATAATTCTGTACTACTGTATTAAATTTCTATAATTTATTTCTAAAACAATTTAGTAATTTGTGGGTGGATATTTTTTTTTTTTTTGTGTGTTCTTTCCAGGTTTGGGATATTGGGGGTCAGCCAAGATTTCGCAGTATGTGGGAACGCTACTGTAGAGGTGTCAATGCTGTTGTGTAAGTAACAAATGAGATTATATGCCAGATCTTGTGATGTCTTCAGAACCTATGGAACACAAACAAATGGCTTTTTTGTTTTGTTTAGGTATATGGTAGATGCAGCAGACTTGGATAAAGTGGAAGCGTCGAAATATGAATTGCACAATTTGCTTGAAAAGCCACAGTTGCAAGGAATCCCTGTAAGCTGCTAAACTTTCTATTATTTTTTTTTAATTATTTTTTTTTTTTTAATATAACCTTTTCTCCTAGAGCCGTGCTTTTTTTTTTTTCTTTTTTTTTTTTCTTTTTTTTTTTTTAAATCTAGTAGATTTTCCTAATCACAAAATGTTAAAAAAAAATAAAAAAAAAATAAATAAAAAAAAAAAAATGCACACAAATACACAACTGGCATAAACCTTAAAAAAATAAAATAAAATGTAGGGTTTGCTATAAAATCTGTAATTACATGTAGGGGAGTGCTGGGCCATTAGTGTGGACAGAGTGTTATGTTCAAAGATCATGCATTACATAGTTTACCCATCAACTGGTGCAAATTAGTGCCTCAGTCGAGTGTAACCCGTGTTTGCTTGATACCAGCAGAGGGCGTCGGTGTACATAGTCCACCTATTCATAAATAACAATGAGAAGTACTGCAGAGGTAAAACTGCAAGTGATGTTCTATACATGTATACTGCATACACTGACACGGTGTGTTTAATAAACCACTTAACATTTGTTTAGAAAGTTCCAAGGGCTGGTTAAAGTGATGGTTTTCCCTCTTTTCTCTTTCTTTTTTGCGTTTTCCAGGTGCTTGTGTTAGGAAATAAAAAGGACCTTGAAAATGCCCTGGATGAAAAGCAGCTTATTGAGAAACTGTAAGTATTGTGCAGTTTGTACTGTGTCAACCAGTGTGTATCACATCCCACAACTGCATATAATGTAAATGGCACACTAGCGTGTCTGATGTGTGAAATTCATTATCATGTATTAAAGTGCACACTTGGCAATATGACTTCTGCAGCTTTGTGTAGTGGTTGTGGTGCAAGAATTCCACGTCTCACTGTTTTAAGGTGCTCTATAGGAACCCAGACCACTTCCTGTCAATGAGCAGGTCTGGGTGCCATGCCCTTGTTGTTTTAACAGTGTTTTCATTGCAGGGCTAAACACCTCTAGTGGCTGTTTTTCTGACACTACAGACACCACAAGAGCTGAGTTAAACCCTACCATTTAATCAGATGGTCTCATAGAGACCATTGGCGCAGTGTGTTGTTTTCCTACGCATGTGCCCTAGTCTCCCAGTGTTTCCCTATGGTTAAGCATTTGATTAGCTGTGATCATCAACCATCCTGATCTCAGCCAAAGAAGCAGAGCAACGTCGTGGAGACCAGCACATCAAGGGATGAAAGGTAAATAATATGCCAGTAACACTCCCCCTTTAAACCTTCACACAGCAGGTAGATTTAAACTATATCGTTGATAATACATGCTTGTATTCCCGACGCTATAGTGTTCATGTAAGGATCTGATTCTGAATGGTTCTACAATCCTATTGGTCTCCTTGGCACTTGCTATCTGGTTCTCTTCACCAATATAGTTACAGTAGAATTTCTAAAGTATTTAATTGTCCCACTGGATTTTATCAATTTATCAAGCTCTGTAGCAAGATGTCGCATTCTTTGTCCTCCAGCTAACACTGTTTGGTGCTTTTATTACAGCCCATTTAGAAGTCTTTGTGATTCAGGTTCTTTGAGCAATTGCCTGCCACATGAGTTTAGAGCGACTGAGCTTAACAACCCAGAAATAACAGGACCGGTTGTCTGACACCCAAAGGGGTGCCACAAGGTTAATCTATAAAAGTGCCAATTTCTATTGAAATCTGCACTTTATTTAGTGTGAGGTAGGGGATGCACATAAAGCACTTCAGCAAGCTAAAATGTTTTTAAGTGAAGTTTTCCCTGTTTAGTTGCCCAAATTTAATTTAGACTTTGTTGGCCAGGCTATTCTGATGTAAGCTATCTAAACCTTTTAATTCTGTACTTTTTTATTTTTGTGTGTGTGTGTGTGTATGTATGTATGTATGTATATATATGTATATATATATATATATATATATATATATATAATATTTACATACATTCATTTTGGTTTAGACCATAAACAATCATTCCTGTGAGATTCATTAGGAAATCTTATATTTGAGTTATATCACATTACAATATCCAAACTTCTTCTTTTGTCTTTTTACAGAAACCTGTCTGTCATTCAAGACCGAGAAATCTGCTGTTACTCTATATCCTGTAAAGAAAAAAATAACATAGGTAAGATTATGTGTGTGTGTTTTTGTGTTTAATGGTTTGTTGCTTGTTCTCTTCCTGGTTCCTACAGTGAGATCCTTTCTTTTTAATTAATTTTGGGGCCTCTGCAGATATGATATGGCATTCAAATTGGGGACTATGCAATACATTGTGACTGTCTGAAGTCTTTGTGGGAAGCCAGAAGAGGTTTACCAGCTACATTTAGTGACTCTGTGACTTTGCATATTTTGTTTTTAATTCAATCCCTTAAGCTGAAATGGCTTAAATATAGTTCTATTACAGTTGCTAAGCTAATTTATCCACAACCCATCAGTCAGAAGAATCCCAAATAATGGCAAATTGTAGACATTCTGAAATAAGGAGAACAAAATGGCAGCACCCATGTATTGAGATCCAGCACAAAGAATACCTAATAAATATCAATAAAGGCAAATGGCAAGGGAGGGTGGGGACATACTCCTTAAGATACAAGAGGCATGAGGATAGGCTATGCGAAAGAAAAAAAACTAAACATGACCGTGTTGCTTTAAGGTGCAATAAGCAACGCCTTTGTCAGCAGGATAGCAGTCCTTCAGCTAGTAATAACCAGCACAAATGACTGGTTTTGTCATATTGTGATGTCATGAATCACTACAGCACCAGCTGCAAAATCCTTTTTTTTTTTCTATGCGACCACTTCCGGTAGCTATCGAGTCAGTATAGACGGCAAGGAATAATCACTGGTTTATCTGTCTCTGGTGAGAAAATAATTAATAGAGTTAAACTGGGACACTGTAAGGGGCCAGACATGAGCAGTACACTTGCGCACGAGTGCGTTCCATCTAGTGCAAATAAATAAAATGCCTTTTTAGTTTCATCCCAAATGATCCGATCCATCAGGGATTTGGAGTCGGGTGGTTCAGTTTGATCTGGCGTAGATTAAATGGGCATTTTTTTTTTTTCGTTTGTGCCAGCTGAAACACATTTTGTGTAAACGTTTGATGCAGGCTTCATCAAATCTGTGGTGCCAGGTCTCCGTGGCGATGAAGAAATAGGATTTGGTGTTGGAATGTCTCTGACATTTTCTCCTGACCTCCAGAGAAACAAGGAAGTGGGCTGACTGAGGCATAGCGAATTAGATGACACTTTCCCAGCTCCCTTATTGCCCTGCCTTCTCCAGTACGTTACCTAAATATATTACCAGGAGTGCGAGGGGAGCCGGGAAAGATGTCTGTTACCCTAGATGGCCATCTCCCCTATTAACACTAGGGATAGTCCGCTGTCTACCCATCTCTTCTTCCTTCTTAATGCCAGCAAGCAGGATGAAAGAAAGTGAAAATTTTTATTAGTGTGTTTGTTTACATGTGTGAGCAGGGCTTAAAATTTCTGCTGGCCATGGTGAGTGAAAAATTGACCCTCCAGACTTGAAGTGGCTCTGTCACCTCAAACTCTCCCTCTCTCCTATTAGTTCATCTTCATCATTTCCTCTTTTAGAGTATTTCTCTTTTTTTTTTTTTGATCAATTTCTCTATAAAACAAGGACCACTCTGTCTTATGCATTTTTTCCTGAGCTTGACAATGGGTGTAGCTTAAGGCAAACTCGACTGCCTTTCTCAATTTACCAAGGCAGTGGATCTTGCCTTAAGCTCCACCCTTTGTGAAGATTGACAAGTGTAGGAAAAATACGTAAGACAACGTCTTCCCTACTTTGCCTTATGTTTTGAAGAGAAATCGAATAGAAATGTAAAAAAAATGATTCTGGAATAGGAAGCAATAGAAGAAAGGTACATTTTTTTTAAGTGACAGCCAATGTAAGTCCTGGCTAGGAGTACAGGACTTGAAATTTAAAGCCCTTTGTGTGTATTGGTGTATGAGAGATTGGCTAGTTGTGTGTGGCTGGCTAGTTATGTGTATATATCTTTGTGATATTGGCTATTTGGCAGTTGTGTGCATGCATGTGTTTGTGGCAGGTTTTTATATATATATATATGTATATGTATATATATATGTATATTTATTTATTTTTTTTTGTGTGTGCTTAATTTAATAATGTCTTCTCTCTTCCTGTTGCAGACATTACATTGCAGTGGCTAATTCAGCATTCCAAATCACGGCAGTATTGAAAATGCCACTTATTAAATCCTCTATAGCAGTCTTCTTTTGGTTCTGCCCATTCTGCCTCGGCGGAAAGGGAGGATGACGTGTTTTGCTACCAGGATTTGTCACTCGGTGCAGGTTACTGCAGGTTTCAGCTGCCAGTTTTGTTCTTTTTTCATCAAGAAGTCAGAATGTGGTTCGACCTTTTGTACTCTGCATCTATTTTGTCTTTCTAGCACTCACTCATGAAATACACCAATTATGTTGGAATATTAATGTTCACTGTATTTGCATGCGTAAAGTCAGCTCAAGGGCCCTCTGTGCAATATGCATTCTATTGCATACCTTTCTCTCAACACAACAAAATCTTCTTAGTCTGTCTCTTGTGATTTCTACTGACTTGGCGTAAAGCCACTTTCGATCTTTATTTTCTAGTTATGGATTGACCATACAGTTATCAATCCCAGTTGGCATGGTTACCACTTTGTCTTTTGCTTGGAAACTACTAATTGCATATTCTGTAATAGTTATGGTATGGGTTCAGGTCATGTTGAATGTGTATGTATTTGCCTTGAATACTTTTAATGGGTTTGTTGTAAATACAAATATTATTCATCAGGGTTGCCTTATATGTATTATGCATAATGTTTGTCTGCCAAAGGTATCTTATTCTTATTAGAATGTTCTAATTTCAAGCAACTGTAATGGGATGTGGATGTTTAATAGACTCTTTGTTTTTCTGTAATTTTTATTTTATTTTTTTTGTCCCTCCTTTTTTCACTTTTTTTTTTTTTAAAGTCACAACATTTAACTACCAATATTAAAATCTTAAGTGGCAATTTTTCCATCTTCTTTCCCTCCATTAATGACTTTTGTAAATCTTGCAAGGAAAAAGTGCATGTTGAAAGCTCGACTGCTATTTTTGTGGTGGTGGATGGAGATATATATATATATATATATATATATATATATATATATATTATAAAATATTTGGAGAGGAGGCACATCCGTTTCACAATGGCTATTCTTCAAAGTCTAAATTTGGTCCAAATGATAACATTTTAAAACCAAAATCAATAACACATTGGGTACTTTTCATCGTTAACCAATACAAACCTATTTTAAAAGTAGAGTAAAGTACTAAAATTAGAAGATATTCGTAAATACTTCTAGCATTCCCTGGTTACACACTTGCAAATATCTTGGTTTTCCTGTTTCTTAATATCTTTTAATGGTCATTATTAGGGAGCGTGACAAAATGGGTGAAAAATACTTTGAGAATTGCGATAAAAATCAAAGCCATTTATCTGATTTAATAAGAAACCTTAGGAACTTCAGTGTTATGTTGGCTAATTATTGTTACATGTGATAACTCTCTCCTCCTCTTAATGATTGTTGGTGTTTCACTTATTAATATTTATTTTATTTTTTTTCCCTCTGGGTTATATAATGAACCTTATGTTTTTGATATTACTCCATTTAATAGCCATATTACTTTTTTAGGAGACTCTCTCTTGGTCTGAAGTGATTTATTTTGATTGTTTACTTGTCCATTACTTCTGTATTCTAGATCAAAGCAAAGAATGTTAATGATGTAAATATACTGTATGGAAAGATAAAACAATACCCTTTTTTTTTTTCTTTTTTTTTCTTAAACAGCACAAAGGTATTTATTCATGTCCTGGTAGTCGTTTAACTAGAAAATATTTGGATTTTTTTTTTTTTTTTTTTTTAAATGTTCATGGGAATACAAAACGATGGCCTTATTGTATAACAGGTAAAGTTTATACCATATTCCACGTCATGTTTAAGCTTTACAAATGTAATATTTTGTTTTTCTATGCATAACTGTGTAAAACATTGCAATAAAATGTATTAGAAATATTAGCATGCTGGTGTGTTGTGTGTTTATTTTGTGGGGGGGGGGGCTTCCCAGTTTCTCTGGATAAAATCAGTATTCTTTAAATGTGTCCAATTTTGAAAATTGGACTTATTTTGTGTAAAAACAAAACTTGTATTAATGAATGGCACATTAAGTGAAAATCAACACTCTTTGTAGGATTATCAGTTGCCTTTTGGGCCGATAACTGATGCCAGTATTCAGTACATTTGAAGTCTTGAAAAGGCAACACATTTCATATACAAACCTGGCGTTAACTGAACATGCTGACTGCAATCATACATATCACATTCCGTCAGTGAAGTCATTTGCCGAGAGTGTCGACTGAAGCTCTCACCCAATAATCTAGCCCAGCATTGCTGGGCTCTCTATAGGAAGTGGTGAAGGCAGGGAGTGGTACCGGGCAGACTCCAAGTAAGAAGTCATGCCATCATAAAACGGTTTGATTCTTTACAGTGGAGGGCACCAGGGCATTGTAGTGTGCTGTAGTGGTTATGGTGCTTGGAGTATTAATATAGTTTTAGGAATTCAAAGTGCATTCTTAAATTAGAGGGACAAAGGTTTAAAAATTAATATCTGGAAGTATTACTTTACTGAGAGAGTAGTGGATGCATGGAATAGCCTATCTTTTGCATGCACCGAAATTGCTGCTCTGAGCCAATCTGATGCTTTTCCAACAGAACCACTGAATCTAGTGTTTCTCTATGGAAGAATTCCACACATTTGATATCATCATCATCACCCTACGCGTGATGACCTTGAATAATAAAAGGTCTTAAGGAGGAAGTACCTCTAGTGCTAGTCTGTCTGGCAACGACATTAAGATAGTGTGGTTTTGTTACTTCGATCTTAATAGTTTATGGGATCTGTAAACTCCCTTCAGTCAAATATACATTTTTAAAACCACTTAGTGACTAGCGTAACAGCTTGGCTGGGAACTCTCCGTCCTCCACCCACCCTGGACCCATGACCAGGATCCAGCTTCCAGTGGGTGAGCCTCTCCTACCTTAGAGAGTGTAGCAGGAACAGCTGTTAAAAAGGCTAGTGATTATAATCCCAGGGGAGTAGATACAGCCTTCCCCTCCCCCCACACATGAGATGAGACTCTATGTTGAGGGTAAAACAGGAACTCAATTTTAATGGAGGCACACTGGCCTTTTATGCAAGTTTCCCAACAAAGGTGATGCCCAGATGGACCTTGTTGGGCACAGGGACACAAAGTGTACAAGCCAATAAAAACAATGTGACAATAAATGACACTCCCGCACACAATCCCTCCCCTCTGCCTGTGATATAATTAAGGCAGATAATGCATTAACTTAATTATCCCCAGGAAGAAAAAACACATTTTTGCAAAGTTCAATAAGTATGCCAAAATACAACATATCCCCTGATAGCCCTGATCTGGGTGAACATATCCAAAAATCACCCAGATCAGAGCAGGGGTTCAGGAAATTCCTGGAAGTCTCTTTTTGACCGACCAGAGGCATGGTTTCATGCCCAAAACCGTTCCAGAGAATTAGGCTGTGCGGCCAGTCTATTTCAAACCGTCGAAGTACCGTTCGAATTACCGAATGGAATGGTGAATGAGCATAGTCAAAGTGTGTCCCTTGTTCGTGGGCTTCGACTCACCAAACGCTGTTCGAATAGTCAAAGTTCCCTGGAAGGTAACTGTTCAGCGGTGTTCGTGCCATCGCGTGTCAGATATGAGTTCCATGAACTCAACGACAAAGCACTGCTAAACACGTTCGACCAAATAAGATGGCCGCGTGTTCGAAAGTTCAAATCTGTTCCAGTATAAGTCCAAGAGGCAGAAACAGTATCTTTAACCCTCCGTTCACCACAGGGCCATAGTCACAGGGTAAGAGGCTGGCAATCAGGCCCCTCCAAAAACCAGTGGCGCTGTCACTTACGCCACAATGCTCAAATGCAGATTTTTTTCTGCAGTAGTGCTAGTAATGTTTTCAGGGTCCTTATAAATACCTACAAGTCAGATATTTAACCATTTGTATTTATCTATGTTTGGCACATCTACTCTATGTGGAAAAAAAAAAATGGTATCCTAACATTTCAGACCCTATATTAACTATTGCAAGATAAAGGACAGTGTATACTGTCTAAAGCATTTAATTGTCCAAACATTTGTTTTTATAAAAGAATATTGAATAAATAAATCATTGTTAATTTACATCATTTTATTTTTTAAGTTACACCTGCAAAGCAATGTACACACCAAGTGATATGTTTACATGCTAGCTATGCATCCCTTGTTTCAAATAAATGCTATGTTATCATTTTAAAATCAGAAACTGCTTGCAGTGAGTGGGTTAAAAGGCATTTGATTAGTTTGTAACAGTTGAAAGGCATTTGTGCCCAAGTCTGTATATTTGATAAGGAAGTCTTTCTGTCACGAGGGGCATGGTTAAGGAGGCAGGCTTATGGTGCAGAATTCTGCAAAACTTTTTTTCTTGAGAAAACCTATAAAGATTTATGCATGAAAAAAACACAGCATATTAATGAGGCCAAAACATATAAAAACGCAATAAAGTTGTATTGGTACCTGGAGTGTCCCTTTAATGACAAACAAAATTGATCCATCTTGGAATGATCTGACCTGACTTCTTTTAGAGTGCAGTAATGATAATAAGTGACGTGTGTCATTAACCGGGTTGCAAAACCGCATTGATATGAATGTACGTTTCTTTATATATTTACATTTATTGTGTTAATACATTATCTATATTATGGTGTTGTTAAGAGTGTTTATTTGTAATTTTTATCCTGCAAAAACATTGACATTTTGTAGATACAGCACTGTTTACAGTGCAGAGCCACTTTTAGGGGATGTCTTCCTAACTGTCTCTAGAGGGCACTGCCTCTCCTACAACAAAGTCAGACTCGATTCAGTGATGTTTGACGTCCTCACACACAGTGCCGAAACAAGACACAGGGGGCACATATAAGACCCTACATTCAAAACCAGTGGGAGGCACTAATAATTTCCACAACTAAATCATATTAGTAGTGGCCACTGGGGTGATAATGTCTGTAGTGGGTGCAGCAGAGGAATAGGGGCTTTAGTGGCTGCTGGAGGTTATAGGGACTGTAGCGGGTGATGGTTGTAATAGAGTATATAGCGAATGCAGAGGGATAGGGGCTTTAGTGGCTGCTGGAGGTTATAGGGACTGTAGCGGGTGATGGTTGTAATAGAGTATATAGCGAATGCAGAGGGATAGGGGCTTTAGTGGATGCAGAGAGGAGTGATAGGGACTGTATTAGGTGCAGGGTAATGGGCTGTTGTGGGTACAGGGGGGAAAGGGCTGTAGTGGGTCTGGAAGGGATAGAGGGTTATAGGGACTGCAGTGGGTGCTGGTGAAAGGAAGAAGGAAGTGGATGCAAGGGGCTGTATTGGGTGTAGAAGAAATAAGGGCTTTAGGGGATAATTGGGGCTTCAGTGGGTAATAAGGGATGTAGTGGGTGAAAGGGATAAAAGGGGCTCCAGTCGGTGCTGGGAGCATAAGGGCTATTGTGGGTGCAAGGAAATAAGGGGCTGTGGTTGTGCAGGGAGGAAAAGGTCTGAAGTGGGTTCAGGAGGTGTAGGGGTTTGGTGTGTAAAGGGGAATGGGTGATACGGGCAATACAGGGAGTGCAGAATTATTAGGCAAGTTGTATTTTTGAGGATTAATTTTATTATTGAACAACAACCATGTTCTCAATGAACCCAAAAAACTCATTAATATCAAAGCTGAATATTTTTGGAAGTAGTTTTTTAGTTTGTTTTTAGTTATAGCTATGTTAGGGGGATATCTGTGTGTGCAGGTGACTATTACTGTGCATAATTATTAGGCAACTTAACAAAAAACAAATATATACCCATTTCAATTATTTATTATTACCAGTGAAACCAATATAACATCTCAACATTCACAAATATACATTTCTGACATTCAAAAACAAAACAAAAACAAATCAGTGACCAATATAGCCACCTTTCTTTGCAAGGACACTCAAAAGCCTGCCATCCATGGATTCTGTCAGTGTTTTGATCTGTTCACCATCAACATTGCGTGCAGCAGCAACCACAGCCTCCCAGACACTGTTCAGAGAGGTGTACTGTTTTCCCTCCTTGTAAATCTCACATTTGATGATGGACCACAGGTTCTCAATGGGGTTCAGATCAGGTGAACAAGGAGGCCATGTCATTAGATTTTCTTCTTTTATACCCTTTCTTGCCAGCCACGCTGTGGAGTACTTGGACGCGTGTGATGGAGCATTGTCCTGCATGAAAATCATGTTTTTCTTGAAGGATGCAGACTTCTTCCTGTACCACTGCTTGAAGAAGGTGTCTTCCAGGAACTGGCAGTAGGACTGGGAGTTGAGCTTGACTCCATCCTCAACCCGAAAAGGCCCCACAAGCTCATCTTTGATGATACCAGCCCAAACCAGTACTCCACCTCCACCTTGCTGGCGTCTGAGTCGGACTGGAGCTCTCTGCCCTTTACCAATCCAGCCACGGGCCCATCCATCTGGCCCATCAAGACTCACTCTCATTTCATCAGTCCATAAAACCTTAGAAAAATCAGTCTTGAGATATTTCTTGGCCCAGTCTTGACGTTTCAGCTTGTGTGTCTTGTTCAGTGGTGGTCGTCTTTCAGCCTTTCTTACCTTGGCCATGTCTCTGAGTATTGCACACCTTGTGCTTTTGGGCACTCCAGTGATGTTGCAGCTCTGAAATATGGCCAAACTGGTGGCAAGTGGCATCGTGGCAGCTGCACGCTTGACTTTTCTCAGTTCATGGGCAGTTATTTTGCGCCTTGGTTTTTCCACACGCTTCTTGCGACCCTGTTGACTATTTTGAATGAAACGCTTGATTGTTCGATGATCACGCTTCAGAAGCTTTGCAATTTTAAGAGTGCTGCATCCCTCTGCAAGATATCTCACTATTTTTGACTTTTCTGAGCCTGTCAAGTCCTTCTTTTGACCCATT